AAAGGACCTGATAGAAGTGTATCAGGTTATGAGGGACACAGATAGGCTGGAAAGAAAGGCATTGTTTTCCATTAGTGGAGGGATCAATAACCAGTGAGCTTAGATTCAAGGTAAGCTGAATGGAAAGTTGAGGAACCATGTTACTAATTCGGAGGGTGTTAGCAGACTGCAACTCTGTCTGAAAGAGGGTTGAGTCAGAAACTCTTGTAACATTTAAGCACTACTTAGATAGTCATTTGCTTTGCTACAGCCTCCACAGCTATGGACCAAGGGCTGAAAAATGGAATTACAGGTAGCTTTCCTATAACGTGATAGTTGTGTCCTTGCATGACCTCGTGCTATAGAAAATCGCGTTATAGGGAAATCGCTATAGAAAATCGCTATACCTGTACAGCAGGAATATTCGTGTTATCCAAACAGCGTTCCCTGTTCATCAATCACATTCCAGCCAAACCGCATTAACAAAACATGCATTATAGCAGAACTACATGTAGTGTAGTCAGATCTTGGTTGATTGTCACAGCCACATTGGGTTGAATCGTTTCTTGTGCTGTAAACATCTAAGAGTCAATGAAATCAACCGTCTTCAACCCAGACCACCAGCTAATCTTTAAGTCTGAAGATAATAAATTCTGGGAGAATTAAGAAAACTCCAGTTTGCCTGAATTGTTGAATTCAGAAACTTTGGGGGAGGTAAATTTAATTGTGTACACAAAAATAAGAACAGTTTTGGGGAAAGTGTGTAAAAATCTGAAAGGGTCATTATTGAGGAGTGCATTAAGCAACACTGTTTATGGTGATGGTGTCACATGGACCCTGGCAGGGGAATAGCTTTGGATTTTGAAGGAGTAAGAACTAAAATTGAGGATTCCCTCATAGAATTACTAACAATGCCTGTGATACCACTGTAAGCTATACCTAGTTGCTACTAATTTACATAATAGCACATGTTTGAAACAAGAGCCTCTTCTCGTCAGGTGACCAGGTGGTTTTCCTCGACTACATTAGACCAAGGGAGTTCTCCAGATCCTTACCAAGTAAGCAGATGGGTAGAGCAAATGTACCAGATTGATCTACCGGCAGGAAGACTGTGATTAGAATGCACTTTACAACATCCTCAACTCCACTTTCCTGCCTGTGGGCCCAGAACTAACATAGCATTGAATGTTCACTGGTCTCAGGATGAAAAACAATACCAAACAATATCGAGGCTCGAATTGAAGATTATGGTATTGTTACCACCATGCTCTAACATTCTGAAATAGTTAACTGACAAACTCTCTTCACTAACTTCCCCATTCTGTTTTTGTTCATCTTGTATTGATCAATATCAAGTAGAATTGACAGGGCTGACAGCAGGTGATCCCATGGTTAAAAATGTACAAAAAAAGTTACAGAAGTTAGAAATCAGAATCAGAAAATGCTGGAAGCACTCATCATTTCTGGCATCCTCTTTGGAGAAAACAGATCAGTTAATATTTTAGGTGGAGCTTTTGTCAGATTGGTTATCTGGCCTGTTGAGTGGTTAGAAATTTAAGTGGAAATGAGGCAAAAATAAGTATTTAAAAAAGCATGTAAAGAATTGCACTATTATAAATCCCATTTAGGAGCCAAGTGAAAAAACTGAAAAGCAATATATCTAAAAGAAAATAGTATTAACATAGAAAAAGATTTTGTCACTCACTTTTGTCCAGAATATTTCTAGGTTCAGAAGATCAGATTCTGAATGAAATATATTGGACAGTGGAATTCTTCTTGGTGGTTGCAAATCTCTTCTTACAAGATATAAGCAGGCAGTGGCTCCTTTTTCCATGTGCTATTGAAGATTTCTACGAAGAATACTAATCAGTTGGTTTGATATTGTCAGAGTGTAAAGAACCTTATAATTCTTATAAGATGGTAAAATATATTGTAACATAATGAAAAAAATCAATCAATGTAGCATTATCTTTGGAAACAACATTGGTAGCAACTAATGAAAATTACAGTGAATTATTCTGAATTATCTCTCTACACTTAAAAGTAGAGATTTTTAAAAGCATAACATTGAAAATTGCAGCTCAAATAGACCGTCTTTTTTGCATATACCTACACAGTTTGTCCAGACCAAAAAGATATTATTAATCTGTCACAGAACATTTTCCTGTACCAAAGTATTCTTGCAGCTGGCACACACTTGTCATACATGGGGAACGTCCATCTGACTTAAAAATGATACTTACAACAAATAACCATTGATTTACTGAAATATCCAGTATCTACTGTGGTAGTCAAACGACAGAGATATGAATTACCAACAATCACAAAGCAGTACACCTTTCAAAATTGTAGATGTCACAAACTTAACCAAATAAATTACTCAATTTTTTTCAAAGCTAATAATCAGCTGTTGAAATAGCCCTATTGCTAAAATGGTTTTATTTTGTGACCATTTGCTTTCTCAATTAACTGACACTAATCCCCAATAAGATTGGTACCATAAATCCATACACCCATTTAAAAATTTATATAAAATATTTAAACATTTTTGCTTGTGTCCTAGGCCCAACCATCTTCAGCTACTTTATAAATAACTTTCTATCCATCATGAGGTCAGAAGTTGGGATGTTTGCTGATGATTGCATAATGTTCAGCACCATTTGTAATCCTCAGATACTGAAACAGCCCTGTCCAATAAAGCCACACCTAGACAATATCCAGGTTTTGGCCGAGAGTGCCAAGAAATATTCAAGCACGCAAGTGCCACGCAATGACCATCTACAAAAAGAGAGCATCCAGCCATTGCCCTTTGACATTAAATAGCATTGCCATCTCTGAATTGCCCCACAATCAACATCCTGGGGCTTATCACTGTCCAGAAACTGAACTGGATTAGTCACACAAACACTGTGGCTAAAAGAGCAGGTCGGAGGCACGGAATCCCCATGACAAGTAACTCACCTCCCAACTCCCTAAATTCTGTCCAGGATTCTTCAAGGCACAAGTCAGGAGTGTGATGGAATACGGCCCATTTTCTGGATGGGTGCAGCACCAACAACACTCAAGAAGCTTGACACCATCCATGACAAAACAACCCAGTTGATTTGCACTACACCTACACATACTCATCCACAACTAATAGTAGCAGTGTGTTCTCTCTACAAGACACCCTGCAGAAATTCGCCAAGGCTACATAGCACACCCCAAGCCCATGATCACAACCATATAAAACAAAGGATACATGGGAACATCACTACCTGCAAGTTCTCCTTAATGACATTCACCATTGTGACTTGGAAATATATCATCATAACTTCAGAGCCTTTGGGTCAAATTCCTGGAATTCCCTCGCTAACATCATTGTGGGTCTGCTTACACCAAATGGACAACAGCTGAAATGAACTGAAGACCTGTGCTCCAGAACTAGCTGTACCACGAGTAACTATTCCAGTAGAGGTACAACACTGGCATCCACCCAGCAATGTAGAAAATTGCCTATGTATGTCCTCTGCACAAAAAGCAGGGCAGTGTGATTATTTTTAAATAGCTTGCAGTAATCTCCTAAATAATACATTCAATCAATTTTCCTCTGATGGATATTAGGCTAACTTGCTTATAATTCTGTGCTTTTTGTTTCTTTCCGTTATTAAATGCACTATTTTCTGATCTGCTGGGACCCTTCCAAATCTTACAAATTTTGGAAGATTAGAGTCACTACTACTTCGCCCATTCCTTTTTAAGAATGTAGAATGTAGGCTGTCCAGTTCTGAAAACTTGTCAGCCTTGATCTAATACTTTTCCCAGTACCTTTTCCCCATTGAGGTTTATTATTGCTCCATCCCATTTACCTCTTGACAATTCAACTTTTTGGAGAAGTATCTTCTACAGCTTTCCCTAATTCACACACTAGGTAACCAACACTGGTTTTAGTTGCTGTTTTCCTATTTAAAACTTCTTGAAAGTTCTACTGTCTGTTTTATATTACTATCTAGTTTTCTCTCATTTCTCTACTTTACAATGCTATTACTGTGCAGTGTTTTACACTGAACATGCTAAAGTAATCCTGTGAGCCTAGCTAGAATAAAATATTTCTGAGTTATTGTCTTAAACTTGTCTTCAAATATTTGCACAAATGTTATGTATCAATATAAAGCTCCAATTTTGATTTGTTTTATTCAGATAGTTATTAACCACTCCATTTACTACATCATTTGAGAAATGAATGCTTCATCATTTTCTTTGCTTGCTGTTTTGTGTAGGGTTTCAAATAAAATCAGCTAACATAGAATTCAAATAATATTTAGATAGTTTATTTGCTTCAAATGACAGATGATTCCTGAGACAATGATTCCATTTAAAATTGCACAGAGTAAATAAAGGTCAGCAATGTTCTCAACCTTTCACAGGTGATTTATTTAGATAAAACCTTTGCTTTGTGGTATAAGCCAGCCTGTCTGTGAAACAAAATGCCAATACAGGAAGTATTAGCTTTTGAGATGTGTTTAAAGAATGATTGATTGTGTTAATGCCAGCCTCATCATCTATGTGACTGGTGAAGTGGAGAGGGAACATGACAAGAATATGGCATAAATAGTAGATTGTGTTGACCTTTATTTCTGATCTGTGGAATAAGCCTTTTCATTTTTTGTGATAATTGTTCAATGGACACTGCAGTCCATTAGAAGTGAAGCTCTTCAGCATGCAAAAAACTAGCAGGCAGTCTAGTTGTTATGCAACTCATTGTGTGACAAAATCTGTTCAATCTAGCTGTTGATTTTACCCACTGAAAGAAAGAGTCAAAGGTGAATCAATTCAACTTCGAACTTTATTTATTGGGTACGAGCAAATCTAAAACGTGACTAACCTTGGTAAAAGGAAAGCTGATTTCTGATTAAGTTAAGGGCTTGTCTGGTTCTGAAATTGGTGGCTTTAGTCATAACATAGTGGTCTTTCCCCGTTCTCTTTGACATTGCTATGGTAACCCTCGGGGCTAATAAAATTCCTTCAATCCTTTCCCACAGAGGGTGATGAGACAGGCGTGATTGATAGCCTGCTAGAGGCCCTGCAGTCAGGTGCAGCATTCAGAGACAGAAGGAAACGGACAGCAAGGCCTAAAGGTGAGTTCTGTACCTATTTGATGTTGTTTCAAAGGGAGTTAAGGTACAGAGTGCTCATGCTGTTCCCCAGAAAAGATACATTTTAGAAAATAGATTAAAATGGCGAGGCGCAGTTCTGTGGGGCACAGAATCTGTCAATGTCAGGAGCAGACTTAATATTCTTCTTCAGATGGCTCCTGTCAGAAAGATGTTAATTCCACTTGGCTGTTGTCAGCACTTGTTTGCAAATCAGTGCTGTGAAGTAAACTTTGTATGTTCAGAAACATATGCATCTTATCGCTTGCCTTAGTACAATTAACTATCAAAATTTACAAAGTCACTCAATGAGTAAAGTGCTTCATGTTTATCCATGCTATTCGTAATGCCAAAGAGATATCCTGAAAATAAATACCTTTTTCATTTGTGCATATTTCAATGTTAGCAGACATATCAATTTCATGTCTTTGTGTCATGGCTCTTACAGATACTGAAAAAACTACAAGTCCAAGTTCACAATGGCCTGTTTTGAAGCCTTGGAACCAGGGTAAAAAAAAAATTCTATGTTATTATGCATGCTCCTTGCATTGCTTGTGTCTAACTCATTTGAATTATTTGCAGGATTTTTCTCAAAAATGAAACACTGTAAATTTCTGTAATTCATTGTTTCTACACTGGGAAGAATACTCAAAGCTTCCTTTTCTGTACAAATTGCTTTTCAATTAACGCAATTTCACTTATCATGTCAGCAGGGTCTAGTAAGATATACTTTATTCTGCAAGTGTGCTAAAGAGAGATTTTGAAGGATTTTAAAGTAAGAAATCTGTGGGGAAGTTGTATTCTGAGGCTATTTCCAAACCTCTCCAACCTCATCGCCTGTTTAACTGTGGTCATGGGTAAACTTAGAGAAAACTCTGACATCCAGTTCTGAGGAAGGCTCACTTGAACCAAAACGTTAACTCTGATTTCTCTTCACAGATGCTGCCAGACCTGCTGAGCTTTTCCAGCAATTTCTGTTTTTGTTAGAAAAACATTAATTTGGTGCAAAACTGATAGTCATGTGGACAAATGAGGAATAATTAAGGAAACCCAGCATTGATTTAACAGAAAATCATGTTCAACTAACTTGCTGGAGTTTATTGAGGATGGAACAGAGGGGGACAATGCACATGATGTTGCAGAAATGGACTTCCTTAACTTAGTCATAAATCAGCTTTCCTTTTCCTAAGATTAGTAGTATTTAATCATGCCATACAGCAGACCTGTGAGCTGGCACCATCCCCGAGACCAGGAAAGACTGGAAGGTTATTCTACAATTACCATTCTCACTTCCTTAGACTCTCTTTGGTACAGTGTACATTTATATCTAGATTCATATGGATTGTGACTGAACTCATTGTAACCACAAACCCACATTGCCGCCCACATATGATAACCTTTCACTTCAGTGCTTACCAAAAATCTGTACATCTCTACCTTAAAAGTATTCAAAGACTCTGCTTCCACTGCTTTTCCAGGAAGAGAGTTTCAAATATGTACAGTCCCCTATGAGAAAAACTTTTGTCTCATCTCTGTTTAAAAACAAACATTGTCCATTTAAAAAAACAAGATTCTTAGTTCAAGATATTTCCGTTTGAAGAAACATCCTTTCCACATCTATCATGTCAAGACCCCTCAACATCTTGTATGTTTCAAACAAGTTGAGTCTTACCCCTTATCAAGATTAGACATGTATCACTGAGGAAAGTTGAGGAGTGACCTGTCTAGCATAAAGGAAATGTTGGAAAGAGAACAAAGAGACTTCCAAAAGGAAGTGGATTAATACATGTCACCATCTGTTAGATTGTTGAACAAGCAAATAGGTGCTTGTTACAAGACATTATTGGAGATCTTCTAAGCATGATGCCTTTTGTGAGAAGTTATAAGGGTGTTAAATAAAAACAGTTTTTGTTTGGGTTATTTTATGATTAATATTGGCTAGCTACAGAAAAAAGAGAGTAGGCATAAATTAATCGTTCCCTCGCTGGCAAGATGCAACACATGGTGTACCACAGGGATCAGTGCTGAAGGCTCAGATATTAAGAATTTATATCAATCACTTGGATGAAGAGACCAAAGGTAAGTTTTTGTTAAATTTGCTGATGACATGAAGAGAAGCAGAAGAGTTAGTTTTGAAGATGATACAAGAAGGCTACAAAGGGATATAGCTAGTATAATTGAGTAGACAATCATCTGATAAATGGAGTTTAATGTGGGGAAATGTGAAATTGTTCACTTTGGCAGGAAGAATAAAAAAAAAATATTATCCAGTTGGTGAATGGCTGCAGAGCTCTGAGATGCACACAGATCTCGGTATCTTTGTTCATGATTTCAGTGTAATGTATGTAAGTGTGAAGTTATCCACTTAGGTAGGAAAAGACAGACTGTTATTTAAATGATGATAGTTTGGGAAATGTTGATACTCACGTTCAACAGTCACTGAAAGCAAATATTCACGTCTAGCAAGCAGTTAGGAAGGCTAATGCTATATTGACCATCACTGCAAGAGGAATTGACTACAAGAGCAAAGATGTTTTGCTGTAACGGTACAGGGCCTTGGTGAACACCCACCTGGAGTATAGTAGATTTGGTGGTGTGACCTAAGGAAAGATATACTACCATAGAGGGAGGATAACGAAGATTCACTACATTGATTTCTGGGATGGTAGCTCTTCTCATCTGAGGGGAGATTGAGTCAATGAGACCTGGTGTCAGTGCAGTTTAGAAGAATGAAAGGAAATCTATAAAATATAGAAAGTAAGAAACATGTAAAATAGAAGCAGAAGTGGACCACTTGGCCATTTGTGTCCTTTCCAGATTTCAACCCGACCATGGCTGATCCTCTAACTCAACACTGTACACCACCTCATTCTCCTTGCTCCTTGACACCTTTAGCTTCTAGAAATCTATTTCTTTATGAAATATATTCAATGAATTTGCGACTACAGCCTTCTATGGTAGACAATTCCACAGGTTCACTACCCACTGAATAAATAATCACATTGAAAAGTATAAAATTTTGAAGCATTGGCCAGACTGGATGCAAGGCTGATGTTTTCCCTTCTCTGCGGGGTCTAGATAAGTCTCAGGATATGAGCTGGATTATTTGTGACTGAGACGAGGACAATTTCTTCACTCAGAGTGTGATAAAACTGTGGAATTCTCCATCACATAAGGCAGTGGAAGCCAAGTCTCTGAATATGTTTAAGAAAGAAATAGATTTCTAGGCACTAAAATTATCAAGGGTTATGGAGAACGTGTGAGCATGTTATTGAGTTAGAGTCTCAGCTATGATCATGTTGAATGGCAGAGCAGGCTCAAAGGGCTTAATGGCCATGATTTACTACAATTTCTATGTTTCTATGAGTTATAAAACGTTAGTATTCAGATGCAGCAAGTAATTATAAAAGTTATTAAATATTATTGTTACTTGCAGGGGGATTTAACACAAAAGTAGGTTTGTTTATGCAGGGCACTGGTGAGACCATATCTGGGGTGTTACTTAAAAGTATTGGTCTCTTTAGTTAAGGAAAGGTGTAAGTGGGTTGGAAGCAGTTCAGGAAGTGTTTATTAGACTAATATCTGGACTAGGCAGGTTGGTTTATGAGGTTGGAGAGACTAAATTTACATGTAATGGAATTTAGAAGAATAAAAGTTGCTCTAATTGAAACATATAAGATCCTGAGGGGTCTTGACCAGGTGGACTGGAGAGCATGTTTCCTCTTCTGGGAATACCTAGAATTAGGAATTATTGTTTCAATGTAAGTGATCACCCTTTTAAGAAGAGATAAACAGAAGTTTTTTTCTCAGAACAGTCATCCTCTCTTCCTCGAAAGGCAATAGAAGCAAAGATTTCAAATATTTTTTAAAGCAGAGGTAGATAAACAAGAGAGCGAAGGATAATCAGGGCTATGCAGGAATGTGGGGTAAACAGGTCGGCCATGATCTTATTGGGTGATGGAGCAGGCTTGAATGGTCAAGTGGCCTACACCTGCTCTGACTTCCTATGTTCATATGGAGATTGTCCCTATCTACTGTGCCCAGACCCTTCCATTTTTTAATATCTCAGTCAAGTCTCCTGATAACAGCCACATAACCTTCAAGACCAAAATTTACAGCACAAGTATTCATTTGAATATCATAATCAAGTGTTAACCATTATTGTGTGTGTGACTGAGTGTGAAACTGAAGGAAAAATGAGAGAAAGTGTGCAATTGCGTGAATGATGAAGAGAGAGAGCTGTGTGTGAGTATGTATGCAGAAGGGAGCATGCATGAGAAAGACTGTGCAGTGGAAGTGAACTTGTGAGGGAGAGTGTGTGGTAGTGAGAAAGTGTGAAAGAAAATGTGTCCAGGAGAGCCAAAGTATACAGGAGGAAGTGAGTGTGAGAGAGTATACGGAAGGAAGCGTGTGTGGGGAAAGGAACTAGCATATAGAGAGTATGCGGGAGGAAGTAAGTGTGAGAGTGGGTGTGTGTGAAAGGGAGAGAGTGAGTGTGCGGGAGGGAGCAAGCATTTAATGAGTGTGTGTGGAGTGAGCATAAGATGTGTGTGGGGTGGAATGAGTGTTTAGAGGGCGAGGGAGGGGAGAAGTGTGTGAGAGCAGGCGGAAGTGAGCATGAGGGAGTGTGCACTAGAGAGAGAGCGTTTTAGACAGTGTGTGTTAGAGGGTTGGAATGTGAGTGTGATTATGGAACTCAAGGCAAGAGTCTCAAAGAAGGACAATAACTAGTGTGAATGTGAAACTGAGGGATGTCGAATGTGTGAGTAAGGATTCAGGTGAGATTGTGAGGGAACGTGTATAAATGATGGAAGGGCCAAGATTGAAGCAGTGATGGAGAGTGAATGAGGGACTAAGTGTCAGTGAGGGATAGAGACTGTGAGAATGAGGAAGAGACAGAATGAATGAGTGAGGGAATGTGGGAGAGCGGGAAGTATGTGAGTCAAAGAGGGGCTGAGAATGAGTGAGAAAGAGAATGATTGAGGAAGGAATGGAGCATGCCTGAGCAACCGAGGGCAGAAAGAGTTTGTATGAGGGAGAGCGTGTGCATGCAAGTGGGTGAAATGAGTGAGATTGAGAGTGAGCCAAAGCCCCATCACCCTCTCCCTCCACTCCACCCACAGCATAATATTATCTGTAAAGCAGGTTGATAATGGAGGAGAACCCAGGCTGAAACGCAATATGTTTCCAACCCCACTTTCATATGAGTTCCAGAGTCCAGTTTGGAGTCTGTCTCACTGGAGGCTAATGCAAGTCTTGTGTTAGTTAAAATCAACACCTGAACTCAATCCTGGTCCCGTTGCCTTTCCTGATAATCAGAATGTTGGGTCTAGCCTGTCTCGCTACTTTCTGTCTTCAGCTCTGCTTCTTAATCAAGAAGGCTATAAATGTTTTATTAGTGAACTCTGCTGCAAGCGATTTTAATTATCAGTTTTATTAATTAGCCAGTTATTGACTTATTGCTCGTTTTTTTTCCCGAAACTCAAATTTACCATTGTGCCAGCCTTA